AGAGAACAACAAACAGCTACTCACAATTATCTCCTTAAAATTTAGCTACATGATCGTCAAACCTCAAAAGGGTTTGTGGCAATTTTTGAACTTCTCCGAGTTTCTTCTTAAAATGTAAGTATTAAGATAGTATTTGTAAAAATCCGTGATAAACAACGATTGACTATTCTTACATTTCAGTTTTTCGGTTAATGAAAACCGGGGAAAATGTATGAAGAACGTTCAGATGACCAACTTTCTTACCTATCTAATCGAAGGATGTTACCGGGACTTGTTATGAACAGTGAGGAGTACTTTCGTCGAGCCAAAAAACAACCCCAAATTTATGTGCATGAAGTTTTTTGCATGTACATTTGAAAAGGCTAAATTGCTGAAAAAGCAATGAGCTTTTTTATTCTTTCCCTGTAGCCTTTGGTTTTCTTCATCTCAGATGCCTTTAATCCCTAAGCCACCTCTAAAATTTCTTCTTCTGGCGTAGTTTAAACCAGTTCAAGCCACCTCTAAAATTTCATTTTTAGGCATAGTTTAAACCAAAATATCAAACTTATATGTGCTTTAGGTGGAAGCTTGTGCACATAATTTTTCGATTCCTTTTGCCATATATCATCCTAGAATGCATATGGCATTTGGGATGCTTTATTCACAACCTTAAGTTACATGTTTTCATAGAAATATTGTCAAAAATCATCATTTGTCAAAATAACGATACAAAGAACACAAAATAAAAGTAACAAAATAGTTAAATTATGACTTGTATTAACATATTTATGATCAAAATAAAAAAAAAAAAAGATAAAACAAAAACGATACGATAACACGATTTGCCACCCCCAAACATGAGGAACCATTAGCACTAGCAAAAGAAAAATGATCATCTGCATCAAGGGCCAATCATCATCAGTTTCCGAAAATCAGACCAATTTTTTAACCGACAATGCAAATCTCAGCAGCTACAAGGGTTTCTACGCCCTCGAGTCATTGAGAACTATACAGCACAGTACTCATATTATATCAGGATTCAAGAAGCCCATAAACTGTTTTCAAAGATTGGCAGTCCTTAAAACGAAAAACTAGCAACCTCTTCATCATCGTCATCTATCTCATCACTAGCTTGCATTTCATCATCTTCTTCACTAAACTTCCCATAGTCCTCTTCCTGTGTTTCATCTTCATCAACAACATCGTCCTTCAAACCCGTGCTCAACACCACAGTCTCTCCACGGGACTTGTCCAAATCTCTCCTCAGCTTATCCATGCTTTCTTTTCTCCTTTCTTCCTCCAGCCGTTGCTTCTCTGCCCGTCTCTTGTCAAGATCAGCCCTGCAACAAACAGTAACACACACAAACACTAATGGTGAGATCTGCTAAAGCATTATGATCACATACAATTTTTTTCCAACGTTTTAAGTTGTCTTAGTTATTTACAGTTCAGTTTTAAGTTTCTTAGCATTTCTTTTTTGTACAATTGTCTATTTTTGGTACGAGAATGTGTTGTCTCAATATTATGTATGTGGTATAGGAAGAAGTGAGCTAACTTGTAAGTTCCCATGTACTCATCAGCACTGGCTTCAATGGCTTTGAAGAAGGCATCCATTCCAGCCCCAGTGACTGCAGAAACTCCGACAGATCTAAGATTCATATAGAATTCCTCCAAAGCCAGCGAGAGGCTACGGGTCAGAGTTGATGTGTAGGAATGATCAGAATCCAATGCCGCATGAAATACCTCAAAATCTTTCATCCACTGCATTGTCCCAAAAAAAAAAAAAAATATAGAAGAAGAAGAAGAAAATCTATTTAATTAACTGAGAAAACAATAAAAACAAAACAAAGTAAGGTGTTCTCAAGAGACTTCATTACAGGAATGCACATAAAAGAAATATAACCAAACCTCCAGGGCAAAATCATGTTGCGCTACATCCGTCTTGTTGAATACTAACACTAGTGGCAGCCGAGTCTTGTAAAGGATGCTACAAGCATACAACATGTTGCTCATGAAGGTAGCTGGATTTGCCGAACGTGGTGTATCAACAACATAAGCAATTACGGTGGGAAATGTTGATGCAAAAGCCTCGGTAATAATAGCCCCAGATGCAGACCAAGTGAAAATCTCGATTTGGCCGGGCGTGTCAACCAAAACATAGTCAAGCTGATCTGCACGTCTCTCGACCATAGAGATGACCTAAATTTTCAAGAATAATCAAGCCAAAACCCACCATTCTCCTATTAAAGTCTGTGACAGGCACAGTAAGATAAGGAGACAGTATACACAGTACTACTAAGAATTAAATTAATGACGGTGACATGGAAAAAGCCATCTTTTCACTAATGTAAGAGCAGTTAAAATTTACAGAGCCTAGAATTTGCTTATCATCAGCGTCCTAGTTTTTAATAACTTAGAATTCAGAAGTGGAGACAAGGACATAATGACATTAGTAGCAACATATCTATGTATCTACATACACACACAAACAGGTACAAAGGTATTATTTGGTGCAAACAAGATAAAAGATACTGCTCTAAAGTTAAAATAACCACATGAGGCCAATCCACTGCGGTTCATTTCTTTTCTTTTTTCTTTTTTTTTTTTAGGGATTCCAAAACAATATATATTAAATACAGGGGAGCAACAAAGCACGCCTCTAACATGGAACAGATGTAGACTAAGTAACTAGTAGAAACCAAGGAAAATTATAGAAAGAGAGAGGGAAGCAGAACAACCATGAATAGTTGGTACAACCTAAATATTTAAAAATGAAACAAACAAATCCTGCTTAGGTGAATTACAAATTTCAAACTGCCGGTTAGTCCAATCAACACCATTACTCCTATTTTATGTCTTAAACTCCAAATTATAGCTGACGTAATCTTACAGAAGAGAAATGCAGGTGCTTTAACAAAGATCACATAAGCAGGTTGGACATATACCTCATCAAATTTCGTCGAGAACAAGTTAAGGGAAGTCAAAATTCCTCCATTTGGTCCAAGATTGAACTGCTTCATGACCTCCTTGTATCGAACAGTGTCCCTGATGTCGATGTTTGCTCCATATGGAAGGGTCATGACAGCAGGATCGAGATTCATAACATAACCACGGATATTTGATGCCATTGTGTGGCAAACTAGCCGGTGAAGAAAGGTAGTCTTTCCACTTCCTGAACAATTGATAATAATTTAATGAGTCTTCAAAGCATAATTTGTTGTCTAAAATGTGTATATAACAGGGAACAGAGATTTATTGTTATTTTTTGCCCAAACTAGTTACCTGCCATGCCCACAACGATTACGATAACTGGCTTCTTCTTGAAGCCAAAGGATGCCTCTCCAATATTCAGTTGACTCATTGTCTCAGATATGCTGTCAGCATCTTTAGTCTTAGACTTGAAAAAAAAAAAAACCAGTCGAGCAATTAGTATAACAAAAGTATGCAATGTAATGTAAGAAAAATTCAATTGAGGTTGTCATGGTTCAGGTATTTACTTCAGTATCGGCTGGCGCCACCGAGGCAGCACTTTCTGGTGCTTTTGGATCGATATCCATTTCTCACTATCACAATATGTGGGGTCGATAAGATTGAACTGAAAATCCCAAAGCTAAAAAGACATTCACATAGGAAAACATTACATACATGAAGGATGACAGAAAGTAAGAAGGATGCAAAAGAGATGCATAAGTGATAAGGACTTCAAGTTGATAAAACAAGTTGCTCAACGCATAAAACCATCTAACAAAAGTTCAGTTAAATACAAAGTGTTACAAGTACTGAAACCAACTCGAAGTTTCAAGAGCAGCCGACTGGTGCACCAATGACACACGTTAAGAAACAAATTGGCAAAAATAAGATTTAATGCCGTAAGTACAGTTTGAGAAAACCTACATGATCTTAAGAGTCGAAAGAAACCAAAAACAGGTGACAGAAATCAAAGAAAGCCACTTTCGCAAGAAATGAGGGTCCACAACTAGGAAAAAATCACCGGAGATGTTAGCCGCCGAACCTTGGAGACCGGAGGAGGAGATGAACAGGAAAATTGGTCGCCGACTCGCCTGGGATGTAATGGTCGCGGAGCTTGGGAGACCGGATGATTAGGGAAGAGTGACTTGAGTTTAGGGACTTAGGGTTTGTGAGAGTGAAAGTCTGCAACACACTATAATAGTAATTCACTAATTTCATTTATATTATTAACTATTATTATTTTTTATTTATTTTTTCAAAATCTGTATGGGATCGGTCTGGTTAGAGCAACTCCAATGGTCCATGGATTGCTCATTTTTATTGCCATGTGGCATAACTAATCTTATGTGGCATTCAAAATGTCTAGAAGTCTTTCTATATCTAGAAGTACTTCTAGACATCCTCTATTATATTTTTTATTATTTATTAAATATATATATCATCACCAACCAATTATAATGTAACACATGTCAAATTATACTAAAATTGACATTCACCATTGGAGACAAAATTTTGTAGCTCCCTTTTTCCATGTCATACATCTCCAAATAGACTATATACCATTGGAGATGCTCTTAGGTATTTAGGTTTTAACTTTTAATTTAATAGAACACTCATGGGGCCGTACCTAGGGCTGGTATCGGTTCGATAACAGATAAAAACCGGAAATAAAACAAAAAAA